TATAAGCCTGACAAAGGTTTAGCTTCACTTTCTGTTTGCTACAGTAATCAAAAGCAAAAATCACCAAGCCAAAACAAAAATCTAGAACTATGCACTAAGATACTATCATATGAAACTTAGCTTTACATAATTGGTTGTTATATTGCTCCGTTAAACTGATTTTAAATGCTTTACAAATGTTACCAATTGTAATATTAAAATATGGTGTTTGTCATTGTGGAAGACAGTGTGGCGATTCCTAAAGGATTAGAACCAGAATTACCATTTGACCCAGCAATCCCATCACTGGGTATAGACCCAAAGTATAACAAATCATTCTACTATAAAGACACATGCACATGTATGTTTACTGCAACACTATTCACAATAGCAAAGATTTGGAACCAACCCAAATGCCCATCAATGATAGATTGGATAAAGAAAATGTGGCATATATACATCATACTATGCAGCCATAAAAAAGGATGAGTTCATGTCCTCTGCAGGGACATGGATGAAACTGGAAACCATCATTCTCAGCAAACTCACACAGAACAGAAAACCAAAGACTGCATGTTCTCACTCATAAGTGGAAGCTGAAAAATGAGAATACATGGACACAGGGAGGGGAACATCACACACCAGAGCCTGTCAGAGGGTGGGGGACCAGGGGAGTGATAGCATTAGGAGAAATACCTAATGTAGATGAGGGGTTGATGGGTGCAGCAAATCACCATGGCACATATATACCTATGTAACAAATCTGTAAGTTCTGCACATGTATCCCAGAACTTAATGGTGTTTGTGGTCATTTCTACTGAAAACTCCCTTGGATGGCAATCTCTTGGACAGGAACATAAATCCCTAATTTAAATAATGTTGCTTCCTTGACAAAAATTCAAATTTTTGTATTTTCTTATATCTCCATTCCCAAAAGTAGATCAAATACAATGTGTTGGAATCACCCACAAACTCAAAGAAACTAGGATATTTACCCCAGCCTAGGTAAAAAAAAAGTAAGTCTCAGATCATTTCAGATAGGTATTTCTGTATCTTGTTAAACCAACTAACCCATCGGTTCAAAAGTACTGCCTATCATGTATTTTCCTTAAATTTATTATGGATACCACTATCCAACAGATCATTAAAACACTACCTCCTTTTAGTGAGAAACTTCCCTATATAATTCCTATTACACTATCGAATTCACACACCTTTTTTTTTTTTTTTTTTTTAAAAGATATAGTCTCACTCTGTCTCCCAGTCTGCAATGCAGTGGTATAATCTCGGCTCACTACAAACTCTGCCTCCTCATATCTCAGCCTCCTGAGTAGCTGGTATTACAAGTGTGCGCCATCACGCCCGGGTAATTTTTGTATTTTTAGTAGAGATTGGGTTTCGCCATGTTGGCCAGGCTGGTCTCTAACTGCTGGCCTCAAGTGATCTGCCCGACTCAGTGCTTGGATTACAGATGTGAGCCACCACACGCAGCCAAGTTCACACTCTTATATCTACCCTTTAGGGTTCTTATCTTGTACCACCTACCCAAATTTCTCTGTACCTCAAAACAAATAGCCACACTTCCATCAGACTATGCCAGTCTTCTTTTTAAGCCCATGTTACTCCTGTTTCCTAACCTGTGGCCAGGTAACTCACCCTACTAAGTATGCCCTTTCTCCTCCAAAACTTCAAAGACTGCTATACCATTACTTAAAGCCTGGCTCCATTCCCTTTTCTTCTTTGAAGGGTTCCTTCCCTACATGGTCTCCATTAATTTCTCCACTCTTAAACCCCTATGAAGCTTAAAAATTCAAATCCCAACACAGAATATTACTGTCATTTTATCATTTATTGATTTAGAATCATTTTCATAAGTTTCACTCTTTTCTCCATACTTAAATTGAAAGCAAGGGGAGGCTGTGTCATACATTTCTCTTGCTTTCCAGCTGTAGTCAACAGAACAATGCTGAGCATACCAAAACACTAGCTAGTTGGGGCCATGGCTGAAATCCCTGCAGAGGGTCTTGAAAGTCATGCTCTTGATCCATATATCCAAAACCAAAAGGGCAGGACCACTACCCCACAACCCAGAAATAAAGAACAGGCATTACATGGTACTATCAATCCAAGATTCTAACAGAAACCAAATATGAGCCTAATACAATTCTGGCACTACAAAGAACTAAAGAATTTTACAATATTTGGCCTCTACTTGCTAACCCCATTTTCTTTGATTTTTCAGTGAGATTCTTTACGTGTTTTCTGTATATTAATAACTTATATTTATTGACTACTGATTTTTTTTAAAAACCACAAAATATTTTGTCTCCAGCTAACAAAATGGATTTCAAAAGTAGTATGAAAAGGTAGAAAAATAAAGCATTTTAAGACACAAATATAACTAAGGCAAACTTTGAAAAAGTATTTTGAAAACTACTTGCACAAACACTACAAAATAAATAATTTTACTTTTTAAAATTAGTCAATTTTAACATTCAATCTTGAAGCCCTTTAAACTATGAAATTGGTCAATTAATCATGTCATCAAAATTGTTTTGAAGACTACCTGAATGATGGTAATTTAGAATCTTACAAAATATTTTAGATTCTCTTAAGCAAAATATTTTTCCAGGATAGAATATTTCTCATTTCGAACCGTAAAGTAATATATATCATGTGTATGTCCAAAAGGGAGAGGTAACAAAATGTTACAATTTCTGTTATACTAGGCTCAGCAGAATCATATAATCAGATTTAAAATTTGTAATGCAAGAATGTTCTTTAAATATCATCACAGCCCAGCTCTTTCATCTCATTTTTACATATGAGGAAACTGAGGAAATGAAATTTAAGTCTTATCAAGGTACTAAACCAGTATTCTAACCCAGATATTTTTCCCACTCTATTATAGAGACTTTAATATAGACTGTGAAATTACTTTAAGTATTTAATAAAATCTGCCATTAGCATTTCAAATCAAATTAAGTGTATTTACAAATACACACGTTAAATATTCTTACAGGCATTTAATAAACACCTTGGAAATAAAATTAAACAAGTAAGGAATCATTGCTTCTTTCATTTATTATACCCTGAATAAGCAAAGATATATAAATAACTGTATTTTCTTATTTTCATATTTCAGCTTCAAGGAAATAGCATCAGAAAAGTTTGCTAAGTTTTAAATATATATATATACATAAAATATCAACCACCAAACTTTTAAATTATTTATCACTCAACTAGAACTTTCATTTAATTTGTAGGTTATATGTTTATTTGCCGGGTGTTACGTGCAGTTGCAATCCACTTTTAAGAGAACAAGGCAATCACTCTTTCAAATCTCTCTCACACATGTGGGCACACACACACCTCAACGATTTAATTTCCTGGGAACACCAGGGATTCAGTATTTTAAATTAATTATACACATGTGCAGTCTATAATACTGTCCTCAATTTAATGACTTGCTTATTCCAGAAGTTCACTTTCAAGTTGGTTTGACTGGACAACTCCAAAGCATAAAACACTTAAATGGAACTCTATTACTCTTAAGCATCAACCTCTACCTCTATCACTCTCTCCACTAACACCAATAGAGGTAAGAAATTGATCAGCCTCTGTTTCAGTTATCTATTGCTGCCTAACAACCACTCAAATAGTTAGTGGCCTGAAATAACAATAATCATACTGTTCACAAATCTGATTTGAGGAGGGCTCAACAGGGAAATCTGGTCTCTGCTCCACATGAAATAAGCTGGGGTTGCTCAATTTGGCTAGAAGATACTCTTTCAAGATGGCAAGCTGGTGTTTACCGTTAGCTGGGAGTTCAGCGAGAGCCAAGGGTGAAGGGCCTTGGTTCTTTAAAAGGGCTGCATGGGCTTTCTCTTGGTATGGTTGCTAGAGTCCAAGAGGTTAGGTCATCAAAGGTAATAAATCTGGCCCTCTATGGGGCCTAACCTTGCGAATCACTACGTAGCAACACTTCTATAGTCATAGGCCTGTACAGATTCAAGAAGTGAGCAGAGACCCTACTTCCCTATGGGAGGGGCATAAACATCACGATGTGGGATGGCAGATCTTGTGACCATCTTGAAAAATATAACCTTCCAAAGCCCCTTTTTGTAATCCTCTCCTACTATAATCTCCTACTTCTTGGATCATTTACTCTAAGTCAGCTGAGACCGACAAGGCTGAAGGCTTTCTCTCCCTGATAGATCTTTAATCTAGTTCTCATCTCAATCCACTTAAATTGAAAGTGGCCGACACCTAATTTTTAAAAATGGATACTACTCTTTTGATAGTACGCTAAGCAATTTAAATTTCTCAATTCAATTTAGTCATCAAAAAAACCTTCTGAAGTAGATACTACTATTTCCCCCATTATACAGATGAGAAAATTGAGGTACAAAGAGGTTGGGTAACTTGCCAAGATCACACAACTAGTAAGGGGCAGAGCTGAGAGATGTCATCCACCTCCTGACTAAATTACCACCCATATAAAGTGATACTTCCTAAACTGCTATCTCTAACTGTGATCTCTTTCTGAGTTACTAATTCATATTTCCATTTGCCTAGTGGACTTCTTTACCACGATGTCTTGCTAAAAACTCAAAGTATAAAACAAAATATATATATACATATATAAAATAATATATATATATTTTTTTAATGAATATATTATTTCTTTCCCCTGCAAAGGTCCTTCTAATTTTCTCTGTCACAGTTAATGAATCACCAACCACCTACTTTTCAAAGTTACAAATTTGGAATTTTAACTCCTCAGTAATTGAATTATTTTAATTCTTCCTCCAAAATGTCTTTTCAAATTTCTTCTCTGTTGCCATTGAATTAGGTTAGAATTTCATCTGGCAAGATTAATCAGTCAACAGATAATTCTGGAACACTTACCAGATGACAACAATTATGTTAGGCTGCCCATGATCCCAATTTTCCCAGCTAACAATTTCTTCCCCCATCGAAGGCCATTCTTCACGCTAACATTAAAATTGTCTGTCGAACGAGAGCCTGGTCGGCGATATGAAACTGCTCACCCACAATCTGCTGAGCTCGCATGTGCAGGGGGTGGGGTCCTGTGGCTTCCCCCTGCGCCTCCAGGCCACTGAGGTCCGTATCTGCCCTGTGGAGTTCAACCCCAACTTCGTGGTGCGTATGATACCTAAGGTGGAGTGGGCGGCGTTCCTGGAAGCGGCCGATAATTTGTGCCTGATCCAGGTGCCTAAAGGGCCGGTTGAGGGATATGAGGAGAATGAAGTTTCTGAGGACCATGCACCATCTGCTGCTGGAGGTGGAAGTCATAGAGGGCACCCTGCAGTGCCCGAAGTCTGGACCTATGTTCCCCATCAGCCGCGGGATCCCCAACATGCTGCTGAGTGAAGAGGAAACTGAGAGTTGATTGTGCCAGGCGCCAGTTTTTCTTGTTATGACTAATGTTTTTGTTGATGTATACCCTGTTTCCAAATTCTGCCGTGTGTATCCCCAACCCTTGACCCAATGACACCAAACACACAGTGTTCTTGAGCTCGACATTATATATTTTTTTCTCATTAAAGGTTCAAAACCAAAAAAAAATAAAAATAAAAATAAAAAATAAAATTGTCTGTCTTCCTGACCCTTACCCAAAAAAAGTAAGGTCAGCCCTCTTGCATGATCTATAAAAAGCCTTCTTAAAAATTCCCCCGGGGCTGGGCCCAGTGGCTCATGCCTGTAATCCCAGCACCTTGGGAGGCCTGAGGTGGGAGGATCACTTGTGTCCTGGAGTTCGAGACTAGCCTGGGCAATATAGTGAGACCCCATCCCTACAAAAAATAAAAAATTAGCCAAGCATGGTGGCACATGCCTGTAGTCCCAGCTACTTGGGAGGCTGAGGTGGGAGGATTGCCTGAGCCTAGGAGGTAGACATTGCAGTGAGCTGTGATTACACTACTGCACTCCAGCCTGGGTGACAGAGCAAAACCCTGTCTCAAGAAACAAAAAAACTGGCCAGGCACGGTGGCTCATGCTTGTAATCCCCCAGCACTTTGGGAGGCCAAGGCGGGTCAATCATGAGGTCAGGAGTTCGAGACCAGCCTGGCCAACACAGTGAGAGCCCATCTCTACTAAAAATAAAAAAATTAGCCGGGCATGGTGGCAGGCACCTATAATCCCAGCTACCCAGGAGGCTGAGGCAGGAGAATCGCTTGAAACCAGAGGCGGAGGTTACAGTCAGCCGAGATCATGTGACTGCACTCCAGCCTGGGCAACAGAGCTAGACTCCTTCTCAAAAAAAAAAAAAAAACCAAAAAAATGAAAAACTGCCCTCAAACTCCCATGGTCTCAATGCCTTGCCACCACTCCCTGTTCTTAAAATATGCACATACACATCCTAACTCTTCTCAATTGCCTCACCTTACAACAAACTGGAGTCATCTTGTGTGTCTGCCTTGGAATGCCCTTCTCCTGTTTGAAAAATCTCTACTCATTCATCAATATCCAATTTCTATATGCCATTACTAAATGAAACCTTTCCTAATAATCCCTGGAAAAGATTCTAAACTCCCACTGCACTGTATTAATGTATTAACATGTCTGTCTCCCTCAATCAGATGCTTAACTCAACATCTTTTAACTCTAGTACCTGCAATAATGTCTGGCCTACACATTCATTCAATGTTTGCAGAATGAATACATTTTATCATATACATGATACTACAATTGGTAGCCAACGTCTATAAACACTTAACAACTAATATGGTTAAAATAAATAGCATTTCAGCACCTTGACAGTTAACGGGGTGCTCCTTACTTGTATATCTCATGCTCATTAGTATACACCTGGCTAGCTAATTGAACAAGAGACATCATTTTCAACAAGTCCATTTTTAAACAGCTTTTGTAATTTAGTTTGAAAAATTAAGAGACAAATAAATGTGGGAAAATGTGTTCTTCAATATTCATACTCTAATTTGGAAGTCAAACAGCCATTGCTATCACAGCCAAATTACCTGACCTCAAGCACTATTATCAAGGAACCTACATTTACAGAAAGAAAAAAAAAATGAATTTTTAATCCTGGCATTTAGGACCTCCAAAATTAAACCCCAATTTACCTTACATGCCACTCCTCCTCTTTATGTGTGCTATACTCCAGCCAAAATGAATGTTCCCCTTATCTCCAGGGCCTACAACCCTCCCTTTATGTCTTAGCTTTCATTGTCTGCTTTACTGAAAAGTCCCTTCACCCAGTTCCACAAACTCAAATCTAATTTTTCCTCTGTAGATAATTCAAATGATAATAATCCCTCTGTAGATAATTCTAATCCTTTCTTTCTTCTAGAGGTAATCTTCCCATCCTCTTGACACCTATGGCACTTTATCTAGACTTCTTTGAAACCATTCATAACCTTATTTTTAAGAGTATAGTATCATATATCTACCTTCTCTCCCTCTATTTGCTAAGGACAGGTTCTATACTTAACATTTTCCAAAATATGTACCTTGTAATTCACAAAATTAAGTTAACAAGCAGTAGAAAATAAAAGTCTCTTAAAAAAAGAAAAGAGTCTCATGGTGAAAAAAGTTTGGAAAATGGACTTCTCATCATCTTTAACATATTAAGGTATACTGCAAATCTCCAACAAAACAGACTATGCTCATTTCCATAAGTTATTTGGCCACTGAACCCTGTTAGTTTTTTTGCAACACATCTCGTAGGACTAATATTTCTTTGGCATGCCCTTTGAGGCATGCAGATAAAGTTCAAGAACTTTACCTTGAACTTAATCGGTATTCAACAAATATTTGTAGAATGAATGAATAATTAACCCTAGTTACTAACCAAGAACTCTCCCATAATGGTAGTCTAACCAGAGAAAAGGGAAGATTCTTGAAGAATTATGGGGAAAAAATAAGCAAATGAGAAAAGAATGTCCTCAGTAGTACAATAAAAGGAGAAGGAATATTTGCAACAACATAAAAAGAACTTCTGGCGGGGCACAGTGGCTCACACCTGTAATCCCAGCACCTCGGGGGGCCAAGGTGGGCAGACTGCTTAAGCCCAGGAGATCAAGACCAGCCTGGGCAACATGGTGAAACCTTGTTTCTCCAAAACAATTTTAAAAACTAGCTGGGTGTGGTGGCAGGCACCTGTAGTCCCAGCTACTCTGGAGGCTAAGGTGGGAGGATGGATTGTGCCTGGAGGGTAGAGGCTGCAGTGAGCAGTGATCACCCAACTGCACTCCAGCCTGCGCAATAGAGCAAGATCCTGTCTCAAAAACAAAGAAAAGAAAATTTAAAAAGGAATTTCTGAGCCCAGCCACTTTGCATATGTAGAAGATACAATTTATCTACACCACGTAACAATCCTTATTCAGAATGTCTATCCTGAGAAGATTTAATAACACTGTACATGGATCTTTTCAGAAAGATCTGTCAACAAAAGTTGAAACTAAGAAGGTATTCTGAGAAACTTTCAGGATATACACTATTACAATAGCCAAATCATCTATTACTAAATCATTTCGGTCAATTGAGGAAATACATTACAGTCTGATTTTGTTATATGAAGTTGTTTTCATTAAGTGTCATGGGACCAATAAGATTTTAAAAGAAGTATAGTCAACACAATGAAATTTCATGGATTCAAAAGCTTAATTTTGTTTTCATTTAACTTCTCTTAATATGAAAAGTGAAAGTACAATTCTATTTAATAGTGCATGAAAATTAGGATGAATAAAAACCAAACATCCTTGACTACATCCTGCCTTCTGTTTTCCACAGTTCTCCAGCTGGGACTAAGAAAGGGAAGCAGGGGGAAAAGATACTTCCTTTGACTTGTACTACAATCTAGATGCTATGGCAGTAGCTACAGGAAACTGAGCAGTGACAAGATTTGTTTTTCCTCCTCCCTCCAACGCCAAGAGATCAACTTTTCACTTGGGGATGAAAACTTACTCAAGAGTAGAGTCCACTGTAGGGCTGGATTCATAGCAATACCAGAAAAAATAAACGCACTTCTTAATTATAACTACTAAAATTTAATTATAACTATTATGCTTTTAATTTTGACGAAGCAACAATCTACATACAGTCAAGAAAAAAAGTCACATAAGTTTTACGATCTATACATATGTTTAAATTTGTTCTAAAAACCCTCTGGCCTAAGAGTAGTGTAAGGGCTACTGTCTCTATTATCACTGAATCTTACTGGCTACCATATAACTAGAGTCACTAAATTACATTAAATCCTAATCTGGTTTAACTACTCAACCTAATGGCCGGACCCCAGAAAGCAAAATATATATTTCCCCACCTCCTCCCTTTCCCCGCCAGGGAGAGGGAGAAAAAAAATCAAACATATTTCCAAATAAGTTACCGAAATCATGCGGTCAAATATTTAAATAAAAATATACATAAGATGGTCTAAGGTACAACTGGAACTGGATTAACTCAAAGGATAATGTCTTATGAACTGTATGACAATATATATAATACTTTTCTGTTAAGACCTGGCTTGTCAGCAAATACATTAATTGAAGATCTCATACAACTTCATCGTGTTCTCCCTCTATAAGATGTGAAAAATAAAACAAGGAACCACAGCACTACTTAGTACCCAGGGACACAGTAAAAGTTCCTAGCAGGAAAAGTCTCTCCCCGATCTTGTGTCAATAAACAGATGGCACAATTTTGGAATTACAGAAATTAATGTAGCTTATCTCCCAACACTTAACTGAGAAAATACAGTATCTCTGAAGTCTTTCTTGTAATTACGATCCTTCATTCACAAATTACTGTCTTATTACAAATTATTATAACAATAACATATATTATTCCTCTCAAAAAAAGCACTATCGATCCGAAAGCTGACTGATACGCAAAATATAGTAACAATAACAAATGTAAAGTTCCATTTATCAAAACTGTGGCATTCAAATTGTAAGCCACAAAAACTGCTGAATCTTAGGCAGAAAAAGGATACCATTTTCACTTATGGAGAGGTTCCCTATTGTGGATTACAGTCTTCTCAATTATTACACTTTTGTTATTCAATGTGAAACACAAGCACACACACACAAAAGGGGTCTTTTCCTTTTTCTCATGTGTTTTCATTTATTTCACACGAGATGCTTTATAAGTTTCATTGTTTTGTAGTCCAATTAGTTTTCCTATTCTATTATCTCAAACTTTTATCACAGCTTCTTACACCAGACTTCACGAAATTAAATTTTAAGGTTTAGATACTGAAAACGCTCGAGGAAAGACAGTATTCTCACTATTACGTATTAAGGATTCTCTAGCTTGCAGTTTGGTGATTTTATAATACACGTAAATGAATATAATACACTTAAGGTGCATTATATATATGAAACGAAGTGTTCGTTTTATAGTGTTCATTTCGGTTTCATTTTATAATACACGTAAATGCTTTCAGTGTATTATTACATGAAATAAAGTGTTCACTTGAATTTTGCCTCCCTTCAGTCGAAAGAGATAAGTAGGCCTTTATTGTACAAAAAAAAAAATTGTCCCAGCCTTTTCAAATGTAAGGTTAAACTGGCAGGCCTATGAATGCCACCTGCAGCCTTACTAAT